CTCCGCCATCCGCTCTGTGCCCGCTCCGTGTCCGCTCCGTGCCCGCTCCGCCATGCATCCCCGCCACACGCCGCCCGGAGCAGCGCCCGGCGCCCGCCTGCCGCCGCGCTGCCGCCTGCCGCCACTGCTGCTGGGTACGCGCCGCGGGCACAGGGGACGTGCGGGGAGCGCCACGCTCGGCTCTGGCGCGCGGGGAGGATGCGGTCCCCGAGGGAGGATGAGGGGGAGGAAGGAGCAACCTTGAAGCCACCCCGTTCCTGCACCCAAAAGGCTTCGGGGATGCAGCTGGGCATCCTCCAGCTCACAGATGGTGCCTCAGCTCGCTGCGCTGGTCCCGCTCCATCATATGGAGACAGCCTTTCCCAGTCTCCTTCCCAGCTCCGTCATACGGAAGGAGCCTTTTCCCAGGGACTCCTCATGGGAAAGGCACTGGCAGCTCCGACCCACGGTTCCKCAGGTAGCAGCTCCATGGCAGATCCGGCTTGTGCTTCTCAACCTTCCCCAGGGCTGGTGGCCTCCCGGCCTCCCGGCCTCCATCCCCACCGTGCGCCTGTCACAGCCGCTCAGTCGCCCTCAGCCCTGATGAGGCTCTGGTCTCCTGGCTGCTCCCACAGGGAAGGGATTCTCTGGATGCAAAAATTGCACCTKGTGCACTCGGCAAAACGACGCTCGCCCCGAGAATGCCACTGGTGCCACCCGCGAGCRTGTGCCAGGGTCCATCTCCTCTGGTGCTGCCTTTTCCCCTCACCCTGCTCTGCTGTCACCTGTTGCATCAGGTCCCTGCTTTAATTGCAAGTGCCCCGAGGTGCACGGCGACGCTTCCAAGCAGGAGGAGGCTCCACTTGCGCCCCAGCTGGAAATGGGGTCTTGGTGTCCGTGTGTGTCCCCTGCCGCCCTCCCGCCCGTGTTTCCGCCTCTCCTCGCAGCCTGCTCCCTGTCCTCCTGCAGAGACCTTTAAGAAGCAGGAGCAGAAGGGAAAGGACGGAGTGTGGGCTTGGATGCAGCCCTTGCAGCTGAGCGGAGCTCCCGCGGTGGATGCAGCGCTCGCAGCCCTCGCAGCCCTCGCAGCCCTCGCAGCCCGCTGACCCCGCAGCTGACGCTGCTCCCGCAAACCTGGCGCGGAGCCGCTCGCCCAGGGCGCTCGGGGACGGCAGCGACGCGCGTGCCGCTGCTTTCCAGGCTGAGATGCACAATGCCGGGGAAGCCATGCCGGAAAGGCGGCATCGACCCAGCCTCTTGAGGTGGAGACTGGCGTTTTCCTGGTGCCTGAAGGACGGGGATCGATTCCAGAGCAATTTTCCTCCTGCAGCGCGGGGCTGATGCGCTGTCTTGGAGCCCGCGCGAGCGCGCGGCTCAGCGATGAGCCCGGGGTGGCTGCCTTGGTGGCTGCTGGTGTYGGGGGGCTGCGTTTGGGAGATGCTTGTGGCGTTTTCCCCACCACATGGGTGCTGGAGCTCTCCTTCCCCATGGGCGGCGGGCACATTCCCGTGTCTGTGCTCAAGTGAGGGGGATCAAGCGTGGCTCTGGRCGAAGCGTTTTCCAACCTGCTGGTTGGCAATGAAATGCTGGGAGAAGGTGGAGGGGGAGCAAAGCAGGAGCTGAACATCTCTGCGTGTCCAGCATCCTCCACAGGGATGCTCCAGAGGGACGCTGCAAGGGCTGCAGTGCAGGGATGCTCCAGAAGGATGCAGTGGAGGAATGCGCCAGAGGGCTGCTCCGGAGGGATGCCCTGAGGGCTGCTCCGAGGGCGCTGCGGGCACGGGCGGCTGCCCGGGCAGCGGCAGGGAAGGGGTTAGCACGCAGAGCGAGCTGCGGGTCGGCGGCAGCGCCGCGCGCGTCGCCCGGCTCCGCTGCACTAATGGGGCAGCTCCTCGCGCCGAGGGGCTCCTCTTCCCTGGCCTCCCGCTCGGCCCCCCCTTCCCCGCCGCTTTGTGCAGTCGCTTCCTCGCACTATTTTTCATGCTCCGCTGACTGCCCCGGCTTCCCTGGCCCTGCTGCCTCCCGGAGATTTATGGAACTGCAGTAATAAACCGYGTTTGAAAGAGCCCCCGGATGATAAATCCCTGCTGTGTTCCGGAGCGGAGCCGGGCACCGTGGGTCTGGCCTGGGGCAGCCGCCTGGCTGCSCCATGCCGGGTTTTCCAGCCTTTCCCATCCCTGTGCCTGGCTCAGGAGCCGGGAGCGGCTCCCACTGGTTCTGGTGGCCTGGCATGGAGGGCACGGGGAGCACATCCCGCTAGGAGCCGGCAGGTGAGGATGGTGACAAGGGGCTCAGTGGGGGCTTTTGCAGGAGTGTCCGCTCCAGCGCGGAGCCGCTTTGGCGGGATGCACCGCAGGGCTGCCTCAGTGCAGGATCCTGCTCCCATGGGTGCTGCTTGCGCCGGGCTCTGCAGATCATTCCCAGAGCGATCCAGAGCAGGGCTGCTGTGCTAAGGGGGATGATGAGGATGATGAGGGTGGTAGGGGCCAGGAAGGCTTGTGCGGTGCCACCTCGGCATGGATGTGGCACATTGGGGCATCCCATCCCCAGAGCCGTCCTGGCGGTGCTGTTCCCGGAGGAGGCATCCGGAGCAGCTGGGAATGGGACCGGGAAGCACCCGCCAAGGGACCAACCTTCCCTTCCCATCGCGAGGCTGGGGCAGCTGTGATGAGTTGTGTCCATCGGCTGGGTGTGCCGGAGCCTCCCTCCCCTGCTCCCCATTTCCCTTTCTGCTCTGTCCATCTGTCCGTGTCCCTCTGTCTGTCCGTGTGCCCTCGGGGCCCTCCCGCTGTCTTGTCTCGTCTTGTGCCAAGAAAGCACCAACCCCAGCGCCGCGGCCGTGTCCCGTTGTCCCCATTCCCTGCAAGGGAATTTTGTATTAAGCTTAAACTGCTTAAACTGCCCCTTCTCACCCTGTCCCCCCCCGAGCAGCTTCCCCAGGGCCGCCCCGGAGCGGGAGCCGCTGGTGACGCCGCTCCGCTCTCTCCCGCCCGCGCAGATCCCGAGCGGAGCAGCGCCCACATGATCTCGGCGGACGATGCCGAGTACCCGCGGGAATACCGCACGCTGGGCAACGGCACGCGGCGCTTCTCCAACGTGGGGCTGGTGCACACGTCGGAGCGCCGGCACACGGTCATCGCGGCGCAGAGCCTCGAGGCGCTCACCGGCCTCCAGAAGTCGGAGATGGAGCGCAAGCGGGACGCCTTCATGGACCACCTGAAGAGCAAGTACCCGCAGCACGCGCTGGCGCTGCGCGGGCAGCAGGAGCGCATGCGCGACCAGGTACGCGGCGGCACGGGGGCGTCGCGGCACCTCGGTGGGCACGTGGGCAGCGCCGGGTACCCCCGGCTCCGATGGACTTGGTGGGTTTGCAGGGAAGGGGGTTTTGCCCTGGAGCTGGGCACAGGGGTGGATCTGGGAGTGTGGAGCCTAGTGCATGGGTGTGCTGGCTTCCCGGGCTGGATGCAGCAGGAGGAGCCGCGCGCTCCGGAGCGCTCCGGAGCAGGCCTGTGGGCAGCAGGGTGCTGCAGCCGGGGCGGCTGCTGCTCCCGCTCCCGCTCCCGAGCGGCTCGGCTGTGCCCGTGCCGGCGGCAGCGCTCCGGGAAGGCYGCRGAGCYGCRGGATGCAYGTGTGCTGCGGGGCCGCCGGATTCRTGCGCCGCTGGAGCGCGGGGATGCATGTGCGTCTTGGGATGGGTTGCATTGCTGCAGCACCGGGTGCGATCCAGTAGGGTCCAGTGCATCCCAGCAGGTTCTGGTGCATCCCAGTATGGCAATCCTGCATTGCTCCGATGCAACCCAGCGGAATCTGGTGCATCCTGGCATCTTTCTGGTGCATCTTGCCACAGCTCCAGTGCACCCTGGCATAGCTCTGGGGCACCCTGGCAGAGCCCAGTGCAACCCAGCAGGGCTGGAGTGCATCCCAGGGTGTTCCAATGTATCCCGGCAGGTAGTGGTGCATCCCGGTATGGCTCCAGTGCAAGCCAGCACAGTTCCAGTGCAGCCRGAGCATGTGAGCACCAGAGAGATGTTAGTTTCTTAGCAAATAACTGGAAATCTCCCAATTTTCATTCCAAGGACTGAAAGACTTTATTCTTTTTATTTAAGAAGGCAGCTGTGATACAGAACAAAAAAGGGCAGCACCACCGAAGTGGCTGGGCATTGCCCGGGCTCAGCCCCCGCTGCAAGGCCCAGCAYGAGGGTCTTGTTTGCAACTTGGGGGGGGAAGAAACCTCCCCCCCACTGTGAACCCCCCCGAGCCCCCCGCCCCGTCAAACAACCCCCCCGAGCACCGTCCTCTGCAGGTGGTAAATAACCCCCGGGAGCAAAAGCAAGCAGAACCGCCGTGCGCGCCGGGTGGCAACCTCTAAATGACATTGGATGGCAAAGCCCCGAGGGGAAGGGGGAAGCTGCCGGGGACTTTTGGGGAAGGGAAAGGTGCAAAACCCATCCCTGGGATATAAATCCCTGGGGCAGAACGCCTGGGCCCCAGCACCTCTGATCCGGCTGCGGTGCCGGGCCAAAGACCCTGCAGCTGAAAGGGCTGGTTTGCAGCGCGCTTTCCTCCACRCGGGTCACGTACCAGCTGAGAGCTTATTATTATTAATGTCATTTTTATTTTTTTTTTAATGCAGAAAATGTATAAATCCCGGGAAACAGGGGATTACGGCCACGCGGGGCTCAGCGCTGCGTGGTGGCCAGGGCCTCCCCGAGCCGCTCCTGTAGCTGGGGAAAAGCAGCAAAAAGCCGGATTTGAGCTCGGCCGTGTTTGCTGCAGGGAGGAAAAAAAAGGGGAGAAAAGCAGCTCGAGCTGAGTGTTAATGTGTCGGCAGCCGCCCGGCAGCAGCAGATTTGCAGCGGAATAAATCCCGCTTTGGTATAAATACATAACAGCCAGGGCGGACCGACACACAAACAGATCCAGCCCCTTGGTCCCCTCGTGCTGGGTGYGCTGAGACTGGCCAACACTCGTGGCAGGGATGAAGGTGGCACGCATTGCCCCCAGCACCCATTGCATCATCCCCCCAGCACCCATTGCCCCCCCAAGAACCCATTGCATCACTCCCCATTGCCCCCAACACTTATTGCCCCCCAGCACCCATTGCATCACCCCCCATTGCCCCC